ATCGTGGCAACCACAGGTTTGGCCCAAGGGCTTCTATTAGTCTTTCCTTTGGATATGCGTGTCCTTGTTTAACCTGATCATTTACAAAGAGGCATTTCAGTGAGCCCTGAGTACTGATGCGTACGGTGAACAGCACGGGGGATAAAACACTGACTCACACATCCCTGCCTGCAAGGAGCTGATGGGAGACAGGCATGGAAGCAATGAAAACACCGATTGTAGCTGGTCTTGGTGTTACATTGCCCGAATTTTATCCTTTTCGGAATTAACCGTTGCCGTTCATGCCATAGCCCTGGATAAGGCCATAGCACATAGCGTTATCCTCCACCCCACACACATCCACACATGACTGTGATTTCTCTTTGTCCTTTACTTGAAAATTTGTAAAAATAGTACTCAAGTTAAATATTCCTAAAGTCTTAAGCTCCAGGTTCTGCAAAAGGAATTAGCACTTCATTTCCCTCTGACACAAGCTTTAACTTATCCAGAATGAATTTACTTTAAACAGGGCTGCCTGCCTTATTATCTTACTCATCTTGCCATCTTTAAATGCCACCTAATCCATTCAGAACACCACTGGATGCTGCACTTGACATAGCCATCGCCGGGACCGCCTGTTAACTTTTCTTACAGTTTCAATGTCATCCAATTAAATATAATACTACGTCAAGGTAAACCATCTCCAGACTGGTCAATTATTCTTTCTGGATGATTCATACTTTATACTTTTAAAATAATACTATTTATTATAACAAACTATTTGAAACAAGCTGGCCCATAAAGTATATTCGAGTAAGAAAAGGCAGCAGGTGAGGGCAATTCTGAACACAGGGGCCTGTTCAGCTCAGCAGGGCTGGTCGGCCTGGGAACCAGAGTGGTGGGGGCTGGGACACAGGCAGAGGCAGGTTCCTCCTTCAAGACCACAACCATAGACATGACCCTGGAGCAGGGGCCTGCAAAGCCGGGGAAATCACCATGAGAGAGTTCCAGAAAGGACGGGACACAGGCTGACATTGACTTTGCCCAGAGAACATTTTCTCAGGTCACTCTGACCCCTGAGTGGGGCGACAAAGCCTGGCTGCCCATCTGAGCTCCTGGAACCTGAGCCCAGTCGCCCTTCATTCGGGGAAGACTGGTGTTTCTAGATATAATGATGGTATTTCCACTTCCGAACTCCCAGGACCCTGTCACCACCTCAAGCCGCAGTTCATTTGGCAATCGTGCAGAAGATCCTGGATCAGGCACAAGGCCGGGGGAGCTCTGGTTTGTCCTGATCTGGAGCCAAGCCCACAGCAACCTAACCATGTCCCCTGAGCAGTAAGGAGCCTCCCAGGACAAAGGAAAATGCAGTGCCTGACTGCATCCACGCCAGGCGAAGCTGAGATAAACACCCATAGCTCAGTGCCTATGCCCTTTGGCTGCTGGTTCCCCAAGGGTTGGTGGCAGGGCTGTGCTCACTCACTGAGCTGAAGAGTGCAGGTCGCCGTGCCAGAGGGATGAGAACTTGCAATGCAGAGCGCCTCTTAAAGCTCCAGGCTGGGATACACTTGAGCTTTCTCAACCACTGACAGTCACAGCCACGCTGACCTTCCCATAGGAAGGAAAGTGCAGCCCTCGTCCATGCCCGGTGCCACAAAGCGCACCATTATTTATCATGGGTTGGGGAGGAGGTGGATCGGGAGAGCATCCAAGACAGACCTGAAAGAACACCACATTCCAACCCAGAGGAGAAAGGGCACAGATGCAGGATGAGAGGCGGAGGGAACAGCATGTGTAAAGGGGGGGAACGTCCACATTCCGGGCTTATCCGGGAACAAGGGGTGCTGGCCCTGAGGTCAGAATATGAGTTGTGTGCAAAGCAGGGAGGATGGGGAGAGATGGTGCCTGGAAGATGAGGATGCGGCTGCCAGGCTGTGGGACTTGAATTCCATCATGACTTTTACTATGAAACAAAGCTGGCAAAGATGAGCCGTTTTGAGCTCCCCCGAGTGCCTGCAGCGCTCTGTGTGAATCACCGCATTTAATCCCGAGGACTCTATGAAAAAGAGGGCACTGGGCCCTTTGAATATTTTTTTCAACAATTATTTCTTGGTGCCAGGCACTGGTTCAAGTTTGACCCAGGTTTGGGCGCTCTTGACTACGTCCCCATCCTCTTAGAATTTAACCTACTGAAACAGATTGAATAAGGGTATGAAAATATATAATTAGGCCTAGCTGGTTTGGCTCAGTGGATAGAGCATTGGCCCATGGACTGAAAGGTCTGGGCTTTGATTCCAGTCAAGGGTTCGATTAGGTTGCAGGCTCGACACTGGCCCCAGTAGGGGCGCATGTGGGAGGCAACCAATCGATGTGTCTCTTTCTCATTGATATTTCTCTCTCTGTCCACTCTCTCTAATAACCTTTCCCAAGGGGATATGGTCATATAGTGGAGTATCTGAGCTCAGAAATCTTCTTGGGTGTAGAGTCCTGATCCTGTAAATCAGCGGTTCTCAACCTCTGGGTCGTGACCCCTTTGGGGGTCGAATGACCCTTTCACAGGGGTTGCCTAAGACTATCGGAAAACACATATATAATTACATATTGTTTTTGTGATTAATCACTATGCTTTAATTATGATCAATTTGTAACAATGAAATTGGGGGTCACCACAACATGAGGAACTGTATTAAAGGGTCACGGCATTAGGAAGGTTGAGAACCACTGCTGTAAATAATGGCGATCTGGGGGACATTCTGCATCAGGGGAAAGGGCAGGGCCTGATGATGATTTTCAAAAATTGCTCAGGTCCAGAGGAGAGATTAACAGAGAAATACAGGAGTAGGAAAAAGTAGGTTTACAGTTGTGAGTCCATGAAAGAGTTTAGTCCTGTATTATTATTTATTAACTAGAGGGCCAGCACATGAAATTCGTATGTGGGTATGGTCCCTAGGCCTGGCCTGCGATCAGGGCCATCTTCTCTGGCTGTCCGCAGTGGGCCCCACCCCCTGCCGCCACCCACCCCGGTTCCTCATTCGCCATCGGGTGATCAATGCCTGACAGCTGGGGGAAAGGGATCAAGAGGTTGGCTGTTCCTGTCTGCTCGCCAGCCCTGCCCCAACTGCGGGTCACCCTCTGCGTGTAGGGTGACCGGCAGGGCAGGGGCCTTGGCCTGGCGCCACCTGCGTCCTCTGCCACACAACCCCAGTTCCCCATTTGCCATCAGGTGATCGGGCCCTGCTGGTCGGGGAAAGGGACCAAGAGGTGGTCAGTGCACCTCATAGTGACTGGACCAGCGGTCATTCTCGTTGTTCTGCCATTAGGGTCAATTTGCATATTACCTTTTTATTATATAGAATTATTATATAGAATAGAGGCCTAGTGCACAGATGGGGGCCAGCTGGCCTGCCCTGATCGGGGCCCCAGATCGGGGTGGGGGTCCCTGCTGGGAGGCAGGGCCAGCTGGGGCAAGGGGTCAGTCATCAGGGGTTTTCATGCCAGCCGATCAGAGTGGGGATCCCCGCTAGGGGGCAGAGTGGCCATGGGCAGTTTGCAGGTGGGCCACACCCCCGATCAGGGTAGTGGTCCCCCAGGGGTGCAGGGCTGGCCTGGGTAAGAGGCTGCCGGGGGTTTTCAGCCATCTATGCCCCCGATTGGGGTGGGGGGTACCCACTAGGGGGGGTGGGGCCAGCCTGAGTGAGGGGCCGGTAGTTCTGGTCTCTGGTCATTCTGGTTGTTCCACTGTTTCAGTCGCTGGGCTTTTATTATATAGGATTATTGCATTATTTTCCATATGAACAACATTAAACATTCTTTTGTCCACAAGTTACAAAGCTGGGGAGGAAAAAAAAAGCGAAACCAGAAGAATGTGAAGTTGTATTTCAGCTGAAGCCAGTGATAATACAGACCTAAGGCTGAGCAGGATCCAGCACATTGAAGTGTACAAGCATGAATGTAAACAGTTGCTCAAGGAGACAAGAGATCATTTCAGGGTTGCTGTATTCCACTAACCGTCCTCTCCCACTGTTTCAAATGTCTGTGGGTCTCCGTTTCCCCTTCTGTGATTTTGGCCTGTGAGCATATGACCTAGTTTTTGGGTGATGGGACCTGCAGGCTTTTGAGAACGATTTTCTTCCCTGATGAAAAGAAAAGAGTCTCCCAACCTCGCTCTCTTCCCACACTGGAGCAGATGAGGGAGGCTGCTGGGGCACACCATGGCCCTTTCTCCTGCTGGGCAGCCAGCAGCCAGATGGACAGAGGGGACTAGAAGACACCCCACATCTGGATCTGTAATGGCATTCTTGATCTGCTTTTCAAACAAACATCAGGTTTATCAGAGAGAAAAGCTAATGAGGACTACTAAGGGCTGTGTTATGGATACTCGGTACCAGGCTCTCAAACGGGTGTTTGGTGTACACTACAGCATGTGATTCTCCCAGCAAAAAATCACGAGGGAGTATAATTCCATTCAGCAGGTAAGGCAACCAAGATTTTGGAAAACAAATTCACATCCCCAGTGCCAAATACCTCAAATGATACTCACCCTTTGGGAGCGGGGGCTGAGTCCCCAGGAACTCCTCCCTGCTCGGGGCCCAGGGATGCTCAGGCCTCCCAGAAACAGCTCTTTCCTGGCATGTGTGTGAGGATGGGGCTCAGGGATCAGGAGGGGGTCAGCATTTCACAGGGAGGAGTCAGGGAGGAAGAGATGTCTCCCTGAAAAGCTCTCTAGTAAGAGCTGATGGTGAATACATGGAAAATTACAACCAAGTCAAAAGAAACAACCAATTGCCTAGAAGTCCGAGGAGAACAAGGGGCACTGTGGCCAATCCCAGCACAAGATGGGACGCGGGTCCCTTGTCTTCAGCTGTTACTGGTGATGTTATGCCATGGAAGAACACTGCTTACATCACACCCCATATTCTTCCCAGTTTCACTATTACAGACTCTGTGCCCTTCCCTCAAAGTCAGGGGCTTGACGTTGGGGTTCTGAGAAGCCTGGGGAAGGGGAAGGGGTGTGGACTTACTTAAATGACTGTATCAGAGGATGTGATGAGAAAATCCCAACGCAGGCCTTGCTACTAAATGTCACTGGATTTCCATGTTCTTCCAAACTTTGGTCTGCTTGGAGTAGTTTTCCCACCTGTCTTCTCTTCTGTTTTCTTTTTGTCCCTGCCCTCTTCCCCTGGATCTCTTCCTCTCTCCCTCCCTTTCTCTCTCTGTTCTTTGTGTCTTCCATCCCTTTTCTGCATTGCGCCTTCTAATCTTTTGATCCAGAAAATGAAAGCATGAGGTTGGCTTGAATGATATAAATGAAGACTAAAGACCCAAAGGGCACAGGACTCAGACACTCTCCCACGGATATGATGAATTCCATGCATGAGTTCCAGTCTGTGGTTTCTGTGACATGACGCCGAGTTTGCAATCTAGAGGCCAGCATTGCTTCAGTCATCTCATTAGCAGCACCTTTTTCTTTTAATGCTGATTGAGAGCCAGGTGCGGTGTAAATGTCTGACATAACTTTGTTTTAATGCATTGCTAAGTGAACCTCTGTTATAATTTTAATTATGTCCATTCTACAGATGTGGAAGCTGAGGCTCAAAAATGAGAGGTAACTCACCTCTTGTGATGTGGCTGAGAAGTTGCAAAATGGACTCTGCCGGATCTCTCAGGCTGGTGCGGCCTGCACGCTAACCATTAGACAGTTTTGCCTTCTTTCTGGTCCATATTCCAAATGAATACATCATTAGGAAGCAGCTCAGGTTACATGAGGGGTTAGTAATATTATATGCAACAAAAACTGGTTATTTCGGCAGAAGCCATATCTCACTACCGAAGAAAGCACAAAACTCTTCTTTGGAAAAGTCCGCATGCAACAAAAGTCTTGTTAACTTAGTCCCTCACCAGGTTACTACCTGAAATGGAAACATGCCATTTCATAGCCACCCTCAGAACAACAAACTCCAGCAGCCTTAGGGGAAACCTGGGACTCAACTTTACAACCTGAGGTCATGGACTTGGGAGGAGCCAGTCTGAAAGGCCCTCTAACAGCTTTATAAGCTTTGGGTTCAAGGAGAAGGGAGCAATTGCAGGTGTGAGTTTGCAAAGCACAAAGCTTCCCTTCAGTGAACTCACTGGGGCCCTTGTGTGAGCCTCGTCTTTCCACATCCGGCCCTCCAGAGATGAGGTGCTGCCTTAGTGGGCCAAACGCTGCCCTGGTGGCCTCACGGGTTTGAAATACCTTCTTCCCAGAGGGTGTTGGGAATAACCTGTGCATGCCTTCCAGACCTGGGAGAGAATCTGGCGCACTTATTAAAGGCACTGAACATTCTGATTTGGTCCACAATTCTTTTGCTTCTTTCAGCAAAAAAGTAAGATTGCCTTGCTCTGATCTGTTACATAGCTCATCAGAGCAAATGACCCTTCTTTTCTCCTTCGACCAGACCCTGTCTAAGTCGTTTCACCTTCAAGATTACTGGGCTCTATCCTCTCTAACTTTTTAGGGTTCTAGAACTTTCCCCAAAGTAATAGCTCTCAGAACTGTCACCACAAAAATAGGGATGTTTGCCGTGGCTGGTGTGGCTCAGTTGGTGGAGCATCATCCTGTGCACTGAAAGGTCACCAGTTTGATCCAAGGTCAGGGCTCAATCCCAGGTCAGGTGCATTCCCAAAACAATTAATGTTTCTCTCTCACATCTCTCTCTCCTCTCTCTCTCTCTCTCTCTCTCTCTCTCTCTCTCGCTCTCTCTCTTTCTCTCTCTCTCTCTCTCAAAAAAATCAGTAAAAACATATTTTAAAAACTATTTTTTAAAAAGAATAGTGATGTTTAAGAAACTACAGGACTTTCCATTAAATTTAAATTTTAGAAAACAATAAGTAATTTCTTAATATTTAGTGTCTTGGATAGACCTGTACTAAAACATTCTATGTTGTTGATCTGAAATTGAGATTGAACTGGGTGTCCCCTATATTTATTTGGTAAATCTAGCAACTCCTAAGTTTTCTTGAGCATTATGCTACCCACTTCATATTGGCAGCCCCCTTTAATCCTCATTAGAACGTAGAAAAAAAGTGAGGCCCTAGAAAGACTGTCTATTTCTCAGGAAGATACAGTCAGTAAGCAGGAGATGAAAAATTCTAACAGATGTGACTTTGAAAGCCATGTCTTTCCCCACATGAATAACTCCAAAACCTAATCGGAAACCTGTCATTGATACCTTCTCCCTCCTTCCCACTCAGGATGCAGAGAAAAATCTGGTTTAAGGCATCATTTAAGGAAAGTGCAAGCAAGTTTTCCGGAGGAGGCGCTCAGTGCTTTCTCTCCGAGCCACTGAAGGGTTTCTTTCTCTGAGCACAGCTAGGCAAGCTTGCTTTTCATTTCAGCTGCATCTGCAATCCACCTTCCTCCCCTGTATTTTAACTGCTGATACAGGACTCTGATTTACTCTCCTAAAGGGAAGAGTGAGGACATTTACATAAAACCATCTACTGCGCGGTGTACCTAATCTGCAGGAATTCTAGGGGAAATTCAACAAGACACAAAATGCAGCCCGGAAAGTGCTGAAATGGAAGTTCCTGATGAATAAAAGGACAAAGGGAAGTGTTTTAAATCTAAATATGTCTCTCCGCTTATAGAAAATGTGGGCCACTCGGTCCTCCCGGGATCTCAGGAGCCTCCACCTTGAGCTGACCTCTCGAGGCAGGTGGAGAGTCTCGGCCCTGGGTCCGGGGTCTGCAGCCTTCGTTCTGAAGGTCTGAGAAAAGGCCTTCACTTCCAGACCTCAGTTTCCTTAAGCAGAAGAACATGGAGAGGCCCCAAGCTTCCATTTCCTTTGAAGGACTAAGTTGAGGAGGAAAAGGAGATGGATGGTGAGTATTATCACACTATATAAAAGTAAGGAATTGCCATTTTCATCCTTTTTATTCTTTTTTTCACTCTTCTTTCATTGGTTTCATTCTTTTCATAAGCAAAGTGCTTTTGCATGGCCAGAAACTACTCAGTGCAGGCTTGTGTGAATGGGCTGACCGCATTGAGAATCCCTGAAACAGACAAATGAGTTCTCAGGAAGGACTTGGGGACACCCCCAATTTTGACTGTTTCATCATCCTTCTTCAGCTTGTCTTTCCATGCCCCTCTCTTTCCTTAAATATTTCTTCCCTCTTTTAAAAAAGATTATTTTTATTATTTCAGGGAGGAAGGGAGAGAGAGATAGAAACATCAGTGATGTGAGAGAATCATTGCTTGGCTGTCTCCTGCACGCCCCCTACTGGGGATCAAGCCTGCAACCCAGGCATGTACCATTGATTGGAATTGAACCCGGGATCTCGCAGGCTGACACTCTATCCACTGAACCAAACCGGCTAGGGCTATTTCTTCCCTCTTGAAGCCTTCCCAAATTTTCCCAGGCAGAAATGCATCCTCTTGTTTATTTTCTGAGCAACTAACTACTAGGAGCACAGACACAGTGTTCCAGAAGCTGGTGTCAGAAACAACACCCCGTCCACATCCTGCTCTCAGAGGGCGCCTACTCTGAAGGGGGAGTGAGGGGTAGTAGCCAGGGGACCCCATGAAGTAACAAGGTAAATACTATTGTACAAAGGCATGCTGACGAAGAATGTGTTGCAATGAAAGAAAGCAGTGGTGACTGGAAGGGATGGGGTCTCGGGAAAGGTCTGCCCAATGACACAGGCAGAGGCCCAACCATTATGCACTGACCCCTCATAGGTAAAACTCGAAGCTCATCTGACTGCCACGCTAGGCTGCAGGTCCCTCAAGAACAAGAGCTATGTTTTACCTCGTGCACAACCTCCCTGGCAACAACACTCAACAGCAACGCCCGGGGAAGAGCTGAGACAGGGTGTATCAGAGTTTCAAGGGCGTAAGTACCTTCCACACAGACAACACATTTTTTAAATACTTCATTTTCGTGATGCAAAAATGAAATTTCTTAATAAAAAAAGTCTGCCAGTAAAGAGATTAAAGCTTAAAAAATATATCTTTACTAATGATAGGGCGCCGACTTCAAGTTGAAGAGCACATACCTTCACAGTTCCTGGTACTAATCGGGTGCTTAGTTAAGAACATGATGAAGCTCTGGCCACTGTGACTCAGTTGGTTGGAGCATCCGCCCAAACACCAAAAGTTAGTGGGCTGAATTCCCAGTCAGAGCATATACTCAAGTTGCAGGTTCAATCTCCGGTCAGGGCAGGTAGGGGAGGCAACCAATAGATGTTTCTCTCTCACATCAATGTCTCTCCCTCTCTCTTCCCAAACTTCCTCTCTCTAAAATATATTTTTTTTAAGTTATAAAAGATGCTGAATGTCAGAGTTCTGAAAGTCAAAATTCAATAGTAAAGACCTCCTTCCCAAACTCCTCAGTCACCTTAGTAATCTACTTGTTTGGGATCATGTATTAATGTTTTCCATGCTGGTCTATCATTTCCTAGAGAGCTTGCCCTGTTGGTTTTGTTCATTAATGTATTCCAGCACTTAATCCAGTGACTGGCACACGTGCTCAATAATCAATCTCATTGAAATTAAGAGTATAGTCAGTTATCACCAGTTTACCCACAATAGCGACTCCCAGAATATAATCAAAGGTCCAAACTCCCACACCTGAAAACCTTTCCCGTGGGACCATGAAACTTGACTTTGGTTATATCAACTCAGAGACTGAACTTTGCGATCCCTAGTTTTATCCCAACCCCCTGACCCTTCCTATGACCCCCCAGCGACTTACTGTTATCCATGGCACATCACTATTTAACATGGGATAGATGTTACTTATCCATCTCGCTCGTATCTGTCTCTTCCATGAGAAGATATGAACAAGGGCACCCCCTGTTTTACTCCTTAGGGTGCCCCCAGTGAGCAGAACATCACTGGTACATGGTTGCAACTCAATAAACACATGTTAATAGAATACATTTGATCCTTGTAACTACTCATTAGGGCAGGGAAAGGAACACTGCACACATCTGTAAATGGGAAGGTTGCTCACTGGAACATAGTCTACACTGCATGCCCAGCACAATGTTGCCTTGATATTCTGGGTAACTGATTTCGCTAAGTCTCACATTGCAACCAATTTCTTCTCTAGCCCCCAAAACCAGAGGCTGCATATTGGGGGTCCTTGGGACAAATAGGAGGCCTACCTACATAGGTGTTTTGTTGGCCCATTTGGTATTATTTTAAAATATTGAATTAGCTGCGGGTACTTGAAAGTCAGTAGGTTCTATGTAAAATTGTGAACTTACAGACTATCCTGAAAACACACACACACACACACACACACACACACACACACACCAGATTTGGCAAAATGGGGTCTGAGGCCCCACTGGGAACCCCTGTGATGGCTCGGAGCCATAGCACCCCCTGTCCCCAGGCACAGGCCCAGGCTCAAGCCCAGGCCTGTTTCCAAGGTTATTACTTGCTGGGCCACTGAAATGCATTTGAGTTTGCGACCCCTGCTGGAAAGCAACCAGAAAACATGCAGCACAGAGGAAAAAAACTAAAGAAAAAATGCCCACTGGGATCTATTTCCTTTACATTCAGGCTATTCCTTGGAAGAATAATGTATCCCTTTCTCTAGAACTCTC